TTAACAGCCTTCACTGTCATCTCATTGGATTTCATAAACATCCAATAAGCTGTTCTTGTGGCTTTCTCACAAGTACACCGCCAAACTTGCTCTAGTCATCTGAGTTTCCATTTCTTCCTCCTGAGTTTCATAGTGTACTAGGGAGACAATTTATGTCAGGAGCAAAGAGGACACTGGGGAGTGATTTCATTGATGGCTTCAGAGAGACAGGCGTTCCAGTCTTCTATCAGCACATCTAATGAATTGCCAGGGGGCATTGGATCCCGCAGAACATTCTGGAACCCAATTGGGTCCATTAGTCTCCACGGGCGAGCATAAATCCACTTGCTGCCTAAACGGGGTAACAGAGACACCCAACCGGGCCTTCAGGGCAAAATAATCTGACCATGGCACCTCTACTTTAGCCATCATATATCCATATCCATCCCCTACCTAAAAGTCCCCCAGATGTCCTTTCCCCCCTAGAAATGGACTTCAAAATTCATACATAAGTTATGCTATGTTACTTGCATTGTTTCTCCAGCTACTATATGTTTTATAGCCTAAATGAAAGTCTGGGATGGGATGAGTGTAAAAACTATTTGAAGAGCACAGCTGAAAGCTGTGGTGTACTCACAAGTCTATCCTGCCATCTTTTCATGTCAGCCATTAAACTCCCTCCTCTGGATATGAAATGCAAGAACAATCCTTTGAAGTTTACTTGTTGACAAAGTAACCACTGTACAGTGAGTTCAGCAGCTGTTTGTTTTTGTGATAGGGTAGCTGAAGTGTTCTATTAGAAAGTCACTCTAGACTTCAGCAGCATATTATGGAACCTCTTCACATTATTTATAATGGCAGTATCCCCTAAGCTTCTTACGTATTGGAGTAGAAGCATTTGTTGAAAGAAAAGAGGGTGATAGGAAGAAACCTTAGGGAAAGTGAGATTCAAATAATTTGATTGCCAGCTTTTAGCCTAGGGATTATTCCCAGGGAGGTGGGGGGAGGTGGATAGGGACTGTTTTGCTATAATGTTGTTGACTATATTTGTTAAGCACTGAGGAAATAATTTATTAAACTATTTGAAATAATTATGAACTTCCTATAAGGAACAATGAGTGCATCTGGCAAAGGCATGGAGCTCTCAATTTTGACTGAATTCTAAACTCTGTTCCCCCCCCCCAGCTCTAATTAATACTGCAGATTAATAAGTGAAATGGATATAGAGAAGAAGGTACATATTTACAGCCAGCCTTACCTCTTGGGATCTCTTCTCCAGCAGGTGTTTAATGAACTGGGATTTTTTTTAGTACTTTACATCATTACTGTGCAGTTCTATGAATGTATACTCGCACATAAAGTCTTATTAAAGCTGTCATTCACAGGTCACACATAGATTGTTTACCAGGTTTGGATGGTATTGTGAAGTGGGTTTCTTCCCACTTTGCCACAACATTGTGATGCTTCTTTACTTCTCTTGAGTTTTCACTGACTTTCCTGTGAATGTTCTCAATCCCAGGGCCGGCTCACCCGCTAGGCGAACTAGGCATTCGCCTAGAGTGTGCCACCTCCGTTCCCTCCCTCCCGCGCTGCAGTCAGCGCCCCAGGGGGGGGCTTGGAGCCGACCTCTCACTTGACCTCGGAGAGGCTGCCCAAGCAGCAGCAGCCTTTCCCCAGATTGCGCTGGCCGGGTGGAGGGGGGGCGGGCAGGCACTCCTGGCTTTGCATGGTGGAGGCAACAGGGCTGGGTGGCTGGAGCGGCGGCAGCAGGGTGCGCAGGATGGGCGGCCGCCTCTTGCCGCTGCTGCTCGCCCCGATGGTGGTGCTGCTGCTGGGCACCGCAGGTAAGAAGACGGTACTGGGATGGGACTGCCCGCCGGCGTCCCCTCCGCCACCCTCCCTCCATGCTGGGCGCCCCGTCGGCTCGGGCTCCGCAGTGCTGCCCCAGCGGAGGAGGAGGAGGTGCAATGGGCGCTTCACCGACAAGGCCCAGGGAGTGGGTGGCAAAGCCGAGCTCCGCCCAGAGGCACCACACGCCAGCTGGGAGATCTCCAGGTCCCACCGGGAGGTTGGGATCTGCGCTCGCCTAGGGCACAGGAACACCTCGGGCCGGCCCTGCTCAATCTAGCTCTAGTGTGAGGCTGGGGAAGGACCCATGTGGAAGGGAAAGTCTGGATCTTCCCCATCTGGCCTGCATTGGCACCATTTCCCCTCTCCCAGAAGGGCTAGTGATTTACTCACAGGAAAAAATAATAACCTGGTATTTCAGAAAACCTGGTAGACCATTATAGCGATACGTCAATTGCTGATTTTCTTAAAAATAAAAAAACTTGAGAAGCTCTCTGTGCCTGGTGGGAAGAGTGGCCATGGGGAGGGGACTGAGGCAGGGGAAGTGCAGGAAATCCTATTATGTGGAGACCAACTGCCATGTGGAAAACACCACAGTCCTTGGTGAGTAAAAAGCAACATGTTAATGGTATTAATGGTACCAGCGGACTTGTGCTATGTTATCAACACTGTATGTTCAACCTGTGTTCATTGAGTGTGGGACCCCTAAGTACAGAGCCAGCGGCAGTCTACACAGGAAGTGGCTCTGTGTTTATAGTATCACGCTGTGGCAGCAGCAACTATTCTCTTGTAAACAGCCAGTACAATTACAATTGTCAGCAAAAGCCCAGAGCAGCAATTGTACAAATGCTTCAGGAAATGTTATTCAGTTTGTTATAGTTAATTATGGGGGGAGTCAATTTTATCATTTAATGTAAGAAGGAACTCGCAGACTACATAATCCTCAGTAGCATGTTTAGACTGTTTAATTCATTTTATAGTCACTTAAAACAGCCACCATACTTCCATGTATAATCATTCTTTATACATACTAGTCCTCACTCAAGGATTAAGTTACTGGAAGAAGTAGAGCATAAGTTTCAAGTTAAAAGGTAATTAAATGAGTCTTGAGGGAGTGGGGAGTGGAACATTCTGGAGCTGGTAGGATGGGTGCACTATGCAGAGAGATGGACTGCTCATCCTGCTGGTTTTAGGAAAAGAGATCTATTCCCAATTTTTGCAGGTGATGCAGCAAATGGCCCTTGCTTATACAAAGAACCATACCCATGTGGTTGAATTTGAGTTAAGTTAGGTCTTTGCACCCAAATTTGTCCTGAAGTCAGGGCACAGAATACGAATAACCAATAAAATGCTTCACAGCCATGTAGAATATAACTTTTCTTCAGACTTAACATCTACTGTCCCTGTATTTGGGATCAGGGTCCACCAGGCGAAATGAGCTCTAGCAACCCTTTTAAATAAATTAACCTGGGAGAGAATTTAGTCCAGAGTCTACATGTTGTTATTTTGCCTTCCATACAGCCTTTCTCTCACAGATGGTGTTGTGTAGGGGATCAAGGGCCCAACCTCACTCAGCCATGAAGTTCACTGAGTAATCTTGGGCCAGTCACCCTACCACGAAGAGATTGTTGTGAGGGGAAAAATACAGTATAATGATGAATGGCACCCTTTGATGAAAGGCTGGAAAAAAGTTAAAAATAGATAAGACATAACTCATTCATTGTTGTTTCCTGGTAGCTGTTGGGTTTCTGCAGGGCAGGCAGAAACCCAACAGGTACAGCTTGCGACATTGGGATGGCAAGAATACAATTACTACTTGGGGAGGGCAGTGAGAACGCTTCTTTTTCATGTTACAGACCTCACATGATCATTAAAGAGTATTCATCTCTGGCCTGTTCACAGATTCTGTATACGATCAAGGTGGGCAGCCCTGTTGGTCTGAAGCAACAGAACAATACAACAGTGGCACCTTTAAGACCAACAAAGTTTTATTAAAGGTTTTAAGTAAGTGTAAGTGGCCGTTAAAAACTAAAACTAAACGAGCCTCTGCACTAGGTATGCATACTGAAAGCACATATTTTTTCCTTACAAATAGCCCTGAGTGCCTGTGCCTTTGTTTATCCCGTGTTCTTCTGACAGGGAAGGGGGTTAAGAAAGACAGACAGGAAACTCCATTTAGGTTTGAGTCCAGTAGCACTTTAGAGAGCAACAAGAGTTTGGATATAAGCTCTCCAGCGTCACAGTCTGACTCTGGAAAGCTCATTCCCTGAAATACTTGTTGGTCCCTACGATGCTAACTGGACTCAAATCTAACTGTTCTACTGCAGCCCAGCACGGCCACCTTCTCACACTACTAAACAACAGTGGCACCTTAAAGCTCTTTAAAACACACCTTTGCATTGCGAAGATAGGACCTTGCCCCTTGCCAAATTTTGTCCTGTTCCAACCCGGAATGGCGTCCCTGAACAAGAAAATCTGTACCAGTCGCATTTTTACCTACGATGCAACCAATGCTCCCTCTAAGCTATGGAATCTTGTGAGCAAAAATTCTACTTTGTGAGCTACAGCCATTAAAGTTGTGAGCGAGCAATTTGGCTACTGCATACATTAGTTTGCTCTGGAGCCATCCTTCCCGAGCTGGGACAAAACTGTGTGAGCCAGAGGTTAAAAAAAACTGTGAGCTAGCTAGCTCACACTAACTCAGCTTAGAGGGAACCCTGGATGCAACTCTCGTAGATGCTTGCCGGGGGTGGGGAAGGGGGCGGCGGCGGTTATATCGGTTAGAGCAAGCCCCGGCAGAAGCTGTGAAGGGGCACCCAGCCGGCTCTCAATTGGCGGAAGGCGACCGGGGCTGCAGTCTTGCTTCCAGACCTCGAAGTGATACTGCGGGAAGTGCGCGTCCTCCACTCTCTCTTCCCGCACGTCCAGGCTAGCAGGGGGGCGGCGGTTCCGTCTCCAGGGCCGGCCGTAGATTCCTCGCCAGCAGAAGGTGGGGGAATCCACGCGCAACTGGAGACTGTCTTGTCAGTCAAGCGCGGGCCAGTGGGGGGAGCCCAGCCGGGCGCGGAGCTGTTCCACGCCCAGCGACCTAAGCTCCGCCCCCTGGCTCTGGCAGGGAGCGGAGCGGGCGCAGGTGAGTAGGCAGGAGCAGTGGGGCGAGCGCGCTGTTTTCGGCCGGCGCTCGCCTGCCTCGCTTGAGCCATGCTGCCTGCTGCTGTCCGGAGGTGGTTACACAGACCGAAGGTGAGGCAGGATGCTTTTCGCGGCTTTAGCGGGGGCCGCTCCAGCCCCGGAGGCTGCCTGCCTCCTTCTCTTGTCTCTCTGGGACAGGCCTGCTCGGCGGCGGCGCCCCCCCCCCCCGGTTTCTTGGTTTTAGAAAGCTTCTCGCGCCGGTTGTCTTCCTTACGCGAGGAACTCCTTTAGTTGCCTTGTCGGTGATCCCGTTTTTCCTGTCAACCCTTTGAAAAGAATCCTCTCGGCTCTACTACTTTGCTTCCTTACAATCACCTTAGTCGAACCTCTCCCCTTCGAGTTGTTATACCGCTGAAGATGCCAAGTCAGGATTGTTAATGCCGGTGTCTGAGCATTACGATTAGCCCCTTTTTGTAATCAGAATGACTAAAGAAGGGCAAAGGAAAACTTTTTCTCACTCTTTTGGTGACTTTGTGATTCTGTCGCACTAGAAAGTGGCAGTTCTGAATTAATGAATGTTGGTTTCCAAAGGTGTGGTCTTGTCTATGTGACTATAAGTTCTCACACTTTTCTCTCCACTGCTCCTTATGGGTTTCTCTTCAGTGGTAGTAAACTTAGGAAGTTTAAGATCAAAGCAGATGTAGTGTAGTTACGGGAAAGGCGGGTAATGTGTGTGTTTCCTCCAGCGGCTGTTGCCTGTGGCTGTCAAGAGCTCTGTTCTGGGTGGTGTCCCAGTTTACTAGGTGATGGTGGGTAAGGGTATGGGTGGTAGATTGTAGTGTAGCTTCAGGGTAAATGTGGGAGTTGGTGTTTTGTCTGAACTTTTGAATCAGTAGCGATGCTGCAAAATTTTATTTTATTTTATTTTGTGACCCTTATGAGTTGTGGTTAGATGTGCTCCATAACATTGGTTTGAGACCATGGCTACCACTGCCAGACATGTGCCTTGTTCTTCTGCATGCTGCTGAAAGGGAATACCATGTGGCAGATCAAGGTACTTGTATGCTCAGCCCTTCGGCAAAGGGCATTGGCCTTGTCCTAGTTGTAGGCCAGTTCTGGATGAGGTTGAGAGTTCAAAGGACTCTTGTATGTGAACTGATGTTGTGCCATCACTGCTCTGGATGGCTGAAGGTGTGGGTGGATGCAATTGCCTCTACAGGCATCATTGCTGTCCATTTGCTGGCAGGGTTTTGACTTCCTGCTGCCTTGTTTATGACTCACCTTCCATTGAACCAAGTACTCTAAGGTGCAATTCAGAGAGAGTAGCATATGGTGTGTCTGTAAAAAAAAAAATTATGATTGTTTGTACTGATCTAGGGAATACAGCTAGGTCAGCATTGTATGCTACAATACAAGCTCATTTTGAAATCACCAGTTAACATCCTTTTTGTGTGCCATTGCTTTGAAGGAACTCGTTTCCCAGGTCCTTTTTTTGTTATGGGAAGGAGAGGGATACCCCCCCCCCATTGATAAAAATGGGGGCGGGTTTCAAAAATCAGTCATGATCTAAAGAGTTATTTACGAGGCAAACAATCGTGCAATTAAAGTGGCTTATGAGTTGGGGGCAAACAGAGAGACCTTGCTGAACAGCCTATAAACTGCTGGTTAAGTGGAATGCATCTGAACTCAGGAATTTAGCAGTATTCCAAAATGGTTTTAGACAGCTAGATGGAAGAAAAAATTATTCTGTGTTGCAATAATTAATGCTGACAGATTTGGGGATGGGGTATACAAGCTGTTTTAGGAATGAACTTTCTGACGTTTGGGAAGTGAATAGCTTATTTAAGGAGAGCAAGAAACATCTATTGTGTGTTTTATCTTACTCTTTTATTGTGACATTTAGGTATTGGATACTTAAATAGACAAATAATCTAGTATGTTGGCTCTTGTGCTTTATAAACAAGTTTGCAGTAATTGTGATGATTTACTAAGGGGTACAAAGCACAAATAATGAAATTTAAGGCTAAAGAGAAAAAACTTTTAGTCCTTAAACTTCAGGACCAGTGAAATAACTCAATCAGCTCTTTTTTGGTATTGGTTGTTTAGTTTCCTCCAAAATTTGTAATGAGCTTAATTAAAACTTGCTCATACCAGTTGGTCATAGGGTCTGAGACTGAAGGACAATGAGTAACAGCCATTTTGGCTCTAACACAATAGTGTAAGAGGAAATGGGAAAAGGAAACATTAAATATGACCCGTCCATCTAACAATGAGCAGTAGTTTTCTGTGTGTATAAATTACAGACATTCAGTTGCCTCAAAAAGGCACATATGTTGAAATGCTGTGAATATATGTAGTCTTATTTAAGTATAACTGATGGAATAAAAGCCAGATGGTTAATCAATTTTTAAAAAAGATTGATGGACAATCTTCTTAATGTGCCATATTAGGAAAATAGTATTTAGACCTGCACGGGACAATTGATGAGCCCATTTTTGGGGTAGAGCGGGGTATAAATTTAATAAATAAATAAATGGCCGAATCAGTCTGTTAGTGTCTGTATGGTTACATGGTTGTGTCCTATTTTTTTTATTGAAAATGGGTCCAATTCCAACTTCAGCCATTGCTTTTATTCATTTTCATTTTTAATATGCTATTGAATTCCTAGTGCTACTTTCAGCAAAATGCATTCTTAGAGGGAAAGTTATTATTAAAGCAAGCAAGTGGGGCATTTTAAGTCTTTCATCCTGTTAGTAAGCCTCAAATTCTTCATACTCATTTGAAAAAAGTGGGCATAATTGAGAGCTGGGTACTAATGGGGTTGTTTCACAATGACGGAAAGGGGGATCCTTAGTGCTATTTGTTTTTTACAATAGTTATGCTGATATAGTGCTGTTGGCTAGTGTCATATTGTGATCCACAAACTTGTTATGAAGGTATTCATTGATTTGATGGCTTGGTCTGTCTCTAGGGGACTAAGTGAGCTGAAATGCCGGTGAACTAATATAACTAGTTTACAGGCTGGACTGCCCATACAGCTGAAAAGTAGACCTAGATTTCAATGAGGTGGTGAGCATGTCTGGGTTTATTACTTTGGAATGTAGGTGGAGACTGTTCCTCAATGCAAAAAAAAATATCTCTGTATAGATGTCAGGTAGTAGCAGCCTTGCCTTCTCTGTAACATGCCAGTTTTCTATGTGCAGAATTTTTTTTTCATAAGGAGCATTCAGTCATGTGACCCTCTACCTGCAGTCTGAAGTGCTTACAGGCCTGACACTTTTTACCACTTCAGTGAGAAATAAGGCATAGTTAGTTACATAGAAGAGCACTTCCATGACCCAATTTAAGAAAATACAGCTGATGACATGGAATGGGTACTTAATGAAAAAAATTTCCACTGCCAGCAGGTTGCTGTATCTCTCTGGCAGTTAAACTCCTGAAAATCCAGTTCTTGTTGTTGGGTGTTTTTTTTCACTGGAAGAAGCAAACATAACTCTTCAGTATTTGAATGGTCAACAAGGCCATATCTGCTTACTCCTAGAAATATTTGGTCATGAGCTAAGAGTCTAAAATTATTTCTGTCCTTATCCTATATTACATAACCACAGCTGACTACTTATTGAGAAATTTGTTTTCATTTTTAGCACCTATACACATTAGAAACAACCACAGAACACCTCCTTGCCTACTGTTGTTCACTTTTTCCCCAACAGCCACTGAGATTCATATAGTATAAAAGAAGAAAAAGAACGTCTTTGGTATGAATAAGAGAGGAAGAGCCAAGGGGGCACTAGATGTCTTTGCTGCAGCATAGAACAGACAACATCCACTTTTTAATATTTATCAAGCTGTAAAAAGCCCAGGATACCTCTCAGATTCTCTCTTGGTAGGGACATATTTGTCTGAGCTGCTATGCAGGGACTGATCAAAAAGATGACCGGTCATGGCTTGTGAAATGCACATCTAGTTTTGATCATCATCATCAACCCTAGCTGAATCGGGGAATTGTAATATTACACTGCTGTTGCTTTGGAGACGGGTGTGCCTTCTTGCCTCAGCCTGACACATTTCCAAACCATATAGGGGGGGCAGTTGTCTTCCCAAACATCTCAGTGGTTCCTTGGGGCAGCCCAGTGGTGAGGACACTGACACACCACTGGGGCTCAGCATGCTCCTGTAGGAGGAGGCGACAGGTAGCTTACCTGCTTTGGACATTACAGCTGTTCCCCATGGGTGGAGCCTGTTTTGTTCCTTAACTCTCCTGGTTCAAAAGGTGAAGCTTGTATGTTCTTGGTTGCCTACACATGTCCCAGTAGGACTGGTAGCCATCTTGATGAACAATAATAGAATGTACAAAGAATTATTCGAGGTATGAGCTTTCATGTGCATGCACACTTTTTCAAACACACTGGAATGGAAGGTAGAGTTCAAACTTGTAGACAGAGGCTGAACAGCAAATTAGCATGTAACATGATATATGCAAAGACAAATAACAAGCTAAGGTCAACAGTTGTTTTGATCTAATTAAGGGGAGAAAGGACAGCAAAGCAATAAATATGTCAAAATAGGGGATAAATGCGTAAAGGCATCTTTTCTAATTGTGGGAAGTAAACTAAGATTTCCCCATTCCTCTCCTCTCAGGCGTGGAGGTAACTTAACAGCATTTTTCCCTTTGTTTTTTGAGGTGGGTGCAGTGGTATGTCAGCAAAAAATTCCAATATTCCTGGCGTTACATTCAGTATTCTAATATACTATTCTGAAAAAGAAATACTAAAAAATAATTTATTTTTCAGAATAGTATTTTAGTACTATATAGTATATATACTATATACACATTCCAATATTCCCTGCATTACATTCAGTATTCTAGTATACTATATATAGTTCATAATATATATACTATATTATATACTATAGTACATATAGTATATAGTATATTATGTATATAGTATACTGAATGTAATTATATAGTATATATGAAATTTGGCCTCTTTCAATTCTTATAGAAATCTGATAGTGATTTCGCTATTTAAAGACACTGGTTACCTTCTTGGTTCATCAGCCACTTCTTACTGACTATAATCCTAAACTTCAAGCCAAGTAATCAACAA